CACACACACACACACACACACACACACACACACACACACACACACACACACACACACACACACACACTCCTTTAATGGTAAATAATATGTTGTGAGTGCTACCCTGAGGCGCATCATATGTTTACAGTGATTTTTTGTAACAGATCTATCCACCATGAAAATGATTCCATTTAAAACAAACAGCTTAATTTCCTTTAATCAGGAAGCTCATTTGCACTCACCATCTGTAAACAAATACTTGAGATCCAGTGTAGCAGCACAAAAACACACATACATATACTATGCAGAATTAATCAGTTCATAAAAACAATGAAAGTGCATTGAGAATGCAATTACAATATATAAAGAGACGTCTGTCCTCTCATTCACCACATGTCCCAGTCTGCTTTTCCACAGACTAATTGGTTTCGGATTCAGCGAAACATAATTAAAGAAGTGAAACAGATTGTCAATTAATTCATGTTTTTTGTGTAAAGCTGTAAAGTCCAGTCAAGCGTACAGAGAAATATCTGAGTGCTTGCAGTTCCCAAAAGTCGCTGAGCCGCCATGTGTGACGAGTAGGTTCAAAGTGTCTCTTTTTGCCTTTCATCTTGAAGGCAAAGTCTCTGGTCCCATTTCACTGAGCTGTCACTGATCGGAGAGAATATTTTCTTTGCTCCTGGAGATTTTCCAGTTGCAGTTGTGACATACAGGGAGGACATGGATTTTCAGCACCTTAATGCTGCGTTCCATTTCACCTCGGAGCTCAGCCCTCGGAATAACCCTAGTTAATGGGATTTGTTGACAAAACCAGTTCATAATAGAGCATTATGCTGCTTTTCACTCATACTAACACCGTAGTAACACATCCAGAGACTTTAATTGGTACAGTACTATGTGTGCGACACATTTAATGACAGAAGTGCCAATAAACAATAAAAACTATAGCTTTCACTACTGTTGATACACGGACCGGCCATCTTGGATTTTGAAGTTGGGGGTGGTGAGGTGAGGTGCTGAGGGGGCGCTCCCAGTTGCAACTTCAGGCTTGAAGGTGGAAAGCTGAACAAACCAGCAGGTATAGATGTGAAAAAACATCTAGCCTCATGATAGCATGCGGTGTGCGCTGGGATTTATCGCCCACCTGCTCGGCAACATCAAAAGCAAAGCACACGGCGGCTCGGTCATGTTCGATGCCATTGTCCTAGTTTTACCAAGCAATGCAAGCGAGAGCCGATCCTATTGAAATGCCTGAAAAAGCCCCCCCTCTGTGTATATTGCAGTCAGTTTGACATATTTCCCAAAGGTGGCTTTCATTCAATAAAACCCACCAACTGCTGCAGCGTGAATGATTATGATTCAACACAGAGGCTCCGGTGTGAGCTCTCTGCTTGTAACAGTGAATGTGGAGGTGGCAGCATCCTTAAGTGCTTTTTCTTTTCATACACATCAAACTGCTGATGAAACCAAAATCTATTTATTTTACGTCCATTCACTATGTGTGATGTATCCAATACAGGGTGAGACTTTGAATCCAGAAAACAAAAGGAAATGTGTGCTGGAGTTGTAGTGATGATTTAATCTGGATTTAGACTAAATTTTATTGAATGAATCTCAAATTAAATAAGCAGACTTCATAAAAAATGATTTAGTTAATATCAATTAATAAGCAAGAAATCTGTAAGCATGTATCCAAGAGGACAATCCATGGGGATAGGGACGATATCATGAGTTTAAAGGTGTATTTAAGTATATTAGGGTCACTTAAAGGGAAAGATTTCAAGTCGGAACATTACAAGTTGTGATATTTTGAGAAAAAAACATGTAAAATTACAAGACAGTTTTTTACAAAAATAAATTTCTTATATCGTGAAAAGAAAATTGTTATTTTACAAGAATTACGTTGAAATATTATGAGAAAAAAAGTTGTAATAATACAAGAACAAAGTTGTAATATCAAGAGAATAAAATCATAATACCATGAGACAAAAGTCATAATTTAGGCTCCATGTCATGTTAGAGGGAGGCTATCAGAAAATCAGTCTGTCGCTTGTTGCCGAGGAAACTGGTAGTGGTCGACTGCCAGTGATTTGTGTCCAACATTGTTTTTGAAATGTTTTTCACAAGGGCCCTTGTATTGCATGGAACAATATAAACACAAGGTAATATGAAAAATTGTTTTCACAATACAAACAAGATTAAGGAGAGCACTTGGAGAGATATTGCCATTGCAAAGACAAAAATCTTGAAAATTGCAAAGACAGTGGAAGAATTGCACAGTTTAAACTCGATCACAGTGCAGATGTTTATCAGTTTTCTGGTGATTGGGGTCGACTGGGAGAGGAACTGGTCGAAAAGTCTGGAGCAGCAGGAAGGAACCACCTGAAAAACCTCTCCTTCACACACTTCAGGTCAATCAGTGTGTGATGGTGTCCTGCAGGGAGTGGAACTGGTGTCCAATCAGAGTTGATGGCTTAGCTCTCACTCTCCTCCCTCCCACCTCCTCTGCTGGGTCGAGAGGGCATCATAAGACCGAGCTGGAATACAAATCTCTTCCTGTCCGCTGTCAAGATGTTGGTGCCCCAGCAGAGTCATGAAAGGTCCTCAGGAGCGCCCCCTGTAGTCAACATCACTCGGCTAATGGACTAATACATTGTTATATGCTGTAGTTTTTGTCATTTTATTTACAAGGACATAAAGGCATTTGTTTTAAGTCAATTATTTATACTTTAATGTCAGCTTTAATCTTGGAATTACAATAATTACACCTTCTTAGCCTAAAAGACAGCACAGCACCTGCTCAGCATATTGTTTTGTTGTTTTCTTTATAGGTATCTGGCCATTCGCTACCCACTCCGCTCCAGAGAACTACGAACCCCTTGTAACGCTGTGGTTGCCATGGTGATCATCTGGGGTCTCTCGCTGGTCTTTGCGGGTCCGTACCTCAGCTACTACGACCTGATTGACTTCGCCAACAGTACCGTGTGCATCCCCGGCTGGGAGGAGCAGAACCGTAAGGTGCTGGACACGTGCACTTTCCTGGTCGGCTACGTCATCCCCGTGCTCATCGTGAGCCTCTCATACACGCGGACCATCAAGTACCTGTGGACGGCCGTTGACCCTCTGGACGGCATGTCGGAGTCCAAGAGGGCCAAACGCAAAGTCACCAAAATGATCATCATCGTCACCGTGCTCTTCTGCATATGCTGGCTGCCGTACCACGTGGTGATCCTGTGCTACCTCTACGGGGACTTCCCCTTCAATCAGACCACCTACGCCTTCAGGCTTCTCTCTCACTGCATGGCCTACGCCAACTCCTGCGTCAACCCCATCGTGTACGCTCTGGTGTCCAAGCACTTTCGCAAGGGCTTCAAGAAAGTGTTCAGCTGCATCCTCAGCAAAAACGGGAGGAATAAGGTTCACGTGGTGCACGTGGCCAACACCGTACCCGGGTTCGAGGCGGGCTCCACGGAGGTGTCGCAGATGAACGAGGAGAACATACGACAGAATGAATGTGAGATGATCAACAGGCCGATCGCGGAGCCAAGAGAGGCCACGGTGACACTCAATTTGCCCTTTCAGCGGCAGACTTGACGACTGATTCGGCTTCGCTTACAGGCTCAGCACAGATTGCCTTTAGTAGAACAAAAACATTGCAGCTAATATTTTAAACAGAAATGTGTAAAATTCACAATATGCTAATGTTTGGTGGCAAACAGGGGAATAGATAATCAAATGATTCACGCACAAACATACAGTATTACACATATTTTTTTACTTTACCATCGACTATAAATAAAGATGGAAGCGTCTGTATATTAATGAAGATAAAATATCGTAGATGTGGGTCCCACCCTGTTGAGCTTTTAATGTAATTTGGAAATGTGTGTGCAGTAGTGGTTGTGGTGTGACATTTCACCCTTTTCCTTATCATCAAAAACATTTAAACCAAACAGAACAGAAACATTCGATCCTGTGCCACCTAAAATGACAGTTTGGTCCATGTCCCATCTGCTATCATGGAGGGGGCGGGTTTCTGCCACCAGGGGGCCATCCAGATGATTTGGCTTCACTTTTGAAGAGCTGTCATGTCGTCCATCATTATATACAGTCCATGTGTTTGTACTACGAGTGAAAGTTTCTCAGTATTTCATCTGTCAATCATTTGCCTTAACCATGATTAGCACTTTGGTATTTATTTAAAAACTCTTCAGTATCTGAGAATCGACACTTTAACAGTCCTTGTTCATAGCAACGCAAAATCTGTCTCATAGTGTTACAGTGTTTTTCAGCTTCACATAGTGAGAGGTATTAGCTGTGCAGGGAAATTCATCCAATCAACACCATTTGCTGTTGCTTTGACACTATACAGGGTTTGACGCAGGGTTAGAGTCACTGTTCATGCACAATAAGTTAAGAAGCAAGAAGGAATGATAATACTCTGCAAATCAAAGCTTTACCTCCACTGATGTGGGTCCATCCTGTGCAGGATTGTCACCACCACACTGTTGTTTCCACTAACATGATCTGCTGCATCTGAAATCTTCAGTCTCATGATGATCTTTGACATGATTTCAACCTTCTCTGTTACTGAAGTTGTATATTCTTCTCTCTAAATGGAGCAGGATTTTCTTTAGTGTGTCTGTTTTGCACCGTGCATGCAGATGCTGCTCTGCCCTGTCAAGATATTACTGGTATCTTTGAATTATGTATGTTTTAACTTATATCTTGTTTACAAACAAATTCAAAATATATTCCAGCATATTTAAAATGTCTAAATTTGTTGTTTGATACATTCTGGTGTGAAGAATCAAAAGTGATGAAAAAAAAAGAAGAAGGAAAAAGAAGAGTTTATATATTTGATAAATAATATGAATTAAAAGTCATCTGGGAAGACTCAATTCTTTTTCGAGAGCAACTTGAGAACTGATGATTTTCTTGCTTTACCTGCTTTTTGCAATGACTGTATTCACAGCATGTTTCTCTTTATAGTAAATGATTATATATTTAAATGAACATGTCTATCAATGAGTGCACCTGTGCATTTAAGAGTTGTGTATTTTAAAATGTGTGTATTCAATGTATTTAAAGCTGTGAAATGATTATGATCACTGACGTTGTTTACAGATCCGCAGCATCTCTCTCTCTCTCGCTGTATATGCTTGTGTCCTACCTCAGAGTTTTAAAAAGAAAAAAAAACATCTTCTCTTCGTTTTATTCTGTTTGTGTAAGATGCAATTTTCCCAACAGAGCGTTCTCGTGCTCAGACTGATTTACCACCAGTGTGTTTACTGTGCCCTTTGTATCTACGGATTATACATATTCAACATGTGTCTGTTTTGTTTCACCTTGTACAGTTTTCACGTGTAATAGCCTTTAGATTTCAATATATTCATATATTCAAATAGATATTCATAGAACAATTATTTGGAACACAATGTAATATGCACTTCAATGACCAAATAAAATATTTTTTGCTGTGAAGTTTTTAGTGAAGGTTTTATTCAATTGACAATTTGCATAAATGTGTGAAAACACATTAACTTACACTTGAACTCTGGGCACATGCATATATATAAGCTATTGACTTCTGATCCATCTATCCATCTATCCATCTATCTATCTATCTATTTATCTATCTATCTCTATGCGAACATATTACTACATATTCATGTATATTGTAGCCTTGTGTTGTTGCTGTTTATTTTGCTTCAGGAATGAGACATGACGTTAAAATGCCTGTGCAGCATAACAAAGCAGATCCCTGAGAGATTACTGCCCAGTACAACACTTCACCTCGGCTGAGCATGTGTGGCAGAAAAAAAATCTACTGGCAAAATAAATCTCAACATAACAAGCTTCATTTTGTCAAAACCGCAATAGAATTATTCTGTGATGTCAATGGTTAATAAACTCATACCTTGATATAATAGATACATAGATATAATCATATCTATTATAACTGATATAATACATTTATATAAAATCCTTCCTATACTTAATATTCATTTACAGTCAAATATTGATTCTTAAATAAACTTTACAATAAACACAAGTGTTATCTGGCCATTGTATACATCATAGAATAATAATATTAATATAATCTTTATTCTGTGATAATGGAGTCGTTTGGCCACTGGCTGTCAGTAAAAACACAAATGTTAAAGGTTAATGTTAAGATAAATGTTCGGCTGCTGAGGGAGAGAAGTTTGTACTGAAACCCTCGTCTTACACTTAACCTGACACTGTGTGCGTCTCCAAAGTGTGGACTGAGTGATTGTTCTTCTTTTTCTAAATGAATTATGTGATGTTAGATGTGATAACCTCGGCAGGGTCTGTGTTGGTGCTCTCCAGTAACCATGGTGAAATTAACCAGAGAGACAAGGGCCTAAAGGCAGCTGCAGTGTTTCATCAGCTAAACATATTATTAGAAACTGGACTATGAGAACACTTATGTAACTTCTACTTACTCTGACTATAGAGGTTTTAGCGGATCTGTTCTGCGACGATATGGAATCTGTAGAAAAGAACGTATCACAGCTATACAACATGTGACAAGAGGTCAATGGGTAGAGGGAAGGTTTGACCTGTGAGACCTTGACTGAATGGAAAACAATTAAGCAGCAGAAGAATAAAAAAAAGACCTTGTTTAGTTTTCTTTTACCAGATGTAACTGAAGAGTAATTGTATTGAGCAGTGATGAGAGACTGAGTCGCCCTGTAGCAAGTAATAACCTAAAATAAAAGCAAAGGGAGAAACATTAGGGGAAGCGACTCAAAGATGTTGTTAAGGACGGCTGAAGATGCAGTTACAGCTGTGAACTGCAGGGTTACAGGATATGAAGCAGCCAGTGGTGGAGTTAAAACAGTTCGACTTAGATTTGTCCAAAAAACATTTAGGAGCTTCACATTTCCAGAGAGGTTTTTCTATTAATGTTCAAGAGTTTCTTTAATATGAAATCTTTACAGAGATCATTCTGCAGTAGGCAGGTTATTAAGCAGCATATCACTAAATAATTCAATCTTAGATCAGTTTGTCAGGAGGATAAACAAACACAACACTCTTGACTTGATATGAATTTAATGCATTTTGTGAAGCGCTCTGTTTTAATGTGTCAGAGGCAGTAAAATCTCCACAAGGAAAAACATGTCTCATCTTCACAAGCATTACATCGTTTATCAAAGATAAATGACCAGATTTTTTTTTAAATGAAAAAAGGGGCGTCTAACTGTAGAATAAACTGATATACTGTATTTTAAGTGTAGTTTGTCTTTCTTGAGGCTACACTGGATACTGATCTGTTATATACCTTTCTAAAATGTGGATCACAAAACATTTTCCAAACGAGTGACAATTTAAAGACGTTAAAATAATTTTAATTATTAAGATTTCAGAAATTAACAAAGTCTGATTCAAGATTATAAAACAAAAACACCTCTATCTTGTCTACATACTTGTCTGGAACGTCTGTGTCAGTCTGTGCACATACAGAAAATATTTGCCTGTTAGATCACATTTATGAATAAAAGTGCTATTTGTTTTTGTGAAAAATCAATTGGAAAAACCAAACTTGAAACATGGTGTTGACATCACTCTATCTGTATGTTGCATATGTATTTCTTGCACTTGATGCATGCATACTGTGTCTTCCTGTCCATCTTGGGTCCACACACATTGCAGCGTTTCTTAATGTCGCTTCCTTGTTTGGTCCATTTCCTTCCCCCTCTCTCCTGCTCCTCCAAATCAATGCCAACCACAAAATATTTTATGGATGGCATCCGGGATGAAAACTTCAAGAAGACTTGCCATGTCTTGCACATGAGTAATCACCATCCGTCTTGGCCCTGCTTGCATTCTTATCACATTGGCAAACATGCAGAGTGGCTCATTCCTTGGGCAAAATTACATTTCAACATTTTTTGACATCCATATTTCTCCACTTGCTGGCTGCTGTGGGGCTGTGCCTGGGGCCGGCTGCCGATGGCCTGGTCCTGGGGCAGGCTGCTTTTTTTGGAGCTGGCTGATGTCAAACTCCTCCAAAATCCTCTTTTTCAAGCTCACTCTGAATTGACAGAAATGTGATCCTCATATTCTGAAAACTCTTCCTCTTCATCCTGTTCATCCTCTTCCAAAGCTTCTCTCTCTTCAGAAATCATTTCTGAAGGCTCACAGCAGAGAATCTTTCCACCATCTTGATTGATTGTGACAAGGAGCCAGGTAAAGCTATTTATTTGTTGTGTCCCACCCATCCCAACCATCTTTATATACAGTCTATGGTCCCACCCCGCTGTGAGAAAATATAGAATGGAAATGTGTCAGACTGTGGCAGTAGAGAGATGTCAGAGCGAGAATTGTAACAATGTTGCAACCTTGTGTGTGAATAGCATGAAATCCACTGGAACCCAGATACCACATATGTAATGGAAATGTGGAGGGGGCTGTACAGTGGTCTTTGAAAATGTATTCCTTCTTTTGTTCTTCTCAGAAAATGAGCCAAGGTCAATGAGTCTGAGGATTGAAAGCGAGTCCCACACCCGAACACCACACAAGGCTTAAATTATAATTCTTTTTCATGTATCTGTACTTTACTTAAGTAGTTTATTTTCAGGTAGTTTTCAGTTACTCCACTACATATTAGCAAATATCTGTACTTTCTACTCATCAGTTGTATGATCACATTGTTTTTTATACACTTTACCTGCAGCAGCAGAACTGATGATGATGATGATGATGATGATAATGATAATAATGATGATGATGATGATAATGATGATGATAATGATGATGATAATGATGATGATGATAATGATGATGATGATGATGATAATGATAATAATGATGATGATGATGATGATGACCACGACAACGATGATGACGATGTTGATGATGATGATAAGGATGATAATGAAGATGATGATGATAATAATGATGATGATGAAGATAATGATGATGAAGATGATGATAAGGATGATGATGATGAAGATGATGATAAGGATGGTGATGATGATGATGATGATTTAATGTTGACTCAACAGGTTTGCAGGAAACTGACCATATGAGATCATCTTCCATTACATTTCTGTGGAGGTCATTGGATAGTTTCATTGCAGACAAACACTTCTCTTATATCCCAGCTGTTGCCTCATGGATCGATAATGTAACACACTCCCGGTGACTCACAGGATGGAGTGAGTGAAGCTAGTGGTGCCTGCAGGCAACACACAGAGACAACTGGCAGCAGCGTGGGTTCATGAGGCGTATCTGAGAGGAGTAAAACATGGACAATGCTGCTGCACAACTGTACATGGCACAAGCAATTTAATTGAGCATGAGAAACTGTCTTATTAATGTTGTTGGTGCAAAGAAAAACAGTTCATTCCACACAGAGGCGTTGTTGTTGAGTGATAAGTCATTAGTCACAGCGAGGCTCTGGCTGAGAGTTTGACTGACATGAATACGAGGGAGCACACAGGACAATCAGCAGCAGCAGCAGTGTACAGCCTTGTTAGCTCCAACTCACCCAAGTATGAAGTGTTAATTAGCTCATATGAGTCCAAGTTTAAAGCAGCACAATAGCTGCATCTGCAGGAAAGTGACTGTCATTATTGGTAAATCAATATGGAAACCGCCAGAGGAGGTGAGAGCAGAATTTACAATGCTCACCTCCTCTCAGCCTATAATGGATCAATGCAGGTTATTCTGTTTTCTTTATGCCCAAAGAAAATCCATTCATATTTGTATTTATGTTGAGTCAACACACAAATGCACAGCTCATCTTTTCCTGTTTATCACCCGATGTGCTGAGGATTAGTTTTACCGGGCATCTTAGAGTGCCACCTTCAGTCTGCAGCATAACACTACAGTTATCAACCTCAAAACAAAATGTGTCGTAGCATTGTGTGATTTTAACATGTCTTTGAGTGTTAAATTAAAAAACTTCTATCAGATTAAAAAGATAATTTCAACATGTCAGGGTATCCTTTATGTGAGTAAAACTTCTATATTAATACAAATTTTATCAGATAAAAAAGATAGTTTTGACATGTCAAAGATTCTTCTATCAGGGTAAATTCATAATTTAAAAACAAATCTTATTGAATAAATACGATGATTTACGATGATGACATGTCTAGGTAGATCCTTTAAATTATCAAAATAATCATAAAAATAAATGATGAAAAAATATGATTTTAACACATTTGGTTCTTGGCGATCTGGCTTTGCACCACCACAGGGGGTTGAACCTGCGTTCGGCTGCACTAAAGGAACACGACAGAACTCCAGCGCTGGTTTACTGCATGTATTTATTGTCAAGGTACCAACGGTGACCATGCTAGTGAACAGAAACAGGTCCAGGGTACTGATTGTGCTAACTGGGCTGCTGGTTGATGACGATTCACGTTGTACATATTTACATAAATGGAATAGTGACAGTTGAGCAAGTTTGCAAATACAATAATAATAAAAAGAAAAGTCCAAACAAAAAAATAAAGTTGATAATAAAGCTAGTCCCTGGCATTTATATCCCCCACGTGTCTGAAAGTCAAACTGCAGACATCATTAGCATATTAATAAAGGCACTCTGATGTTTATATACATGTCATTGATCTCGAATAAGGGAATTTCGCTTTTGGGGCTTTCACAGTAAGATTCACAACAGATTTGTCACTACAATTTCAAAATAAATTGAAAACAACAAATAGTATTTCACTGGATCTGGTACAAAGGCCGACTGGAGGCAAATGCACTAAATATATTAAAGTTATGATTTAAGTTAGGAAATTCAAATACTGCATCTCAAACAAACATTAAATAATGATATTCCCCACACTGGGTTTCTATGCAACAACACATACAATACAGCACTCTGGATTGAGGGTTCACTCATCTTTCTGCACATTATTCCTCAGCAAATAAAGGGCTCTCATTATAACAGCGTTCCTCACTATGGTCTTCAGCAACAATGATGAAATAGAGAATGAAAAATACATGACCTTGCATCTTATTGTCATGTAGCTTCCCCGGTAACTCTGTGCCATCGCTTTCTTTTTCGTGTGCTATTACAGTGCAAAAGATTTCACATTTCCAATCAGAGAAAAATTGTCTGGGACGTTGTAATAATAACTAGATCTACGTGTCCTATGTGCACGATTGATCCAAATGTTCACGGTCATGTCACGATGCACCAAAAATGTCAAAGTCGAACACTCCTTGCATAAAAAAAAAAAAAATGCATTCAAGGTTTGCTAAGAATCAATTCTAGCAATAAGTGTAATAAGGGTAATTCAGAACTACTCCTAACATCTGCTTTTGTTCTCTTTGGTGTAATGTGATCTATCAGGAGTAGATCAGAAACTTGCACTTAACAATTCATTCCTGTCAGGCACAAGATGGAGCTGTGATAAACAAGAGAAGGCTACAGATTAGAAATCAGTTCTCAGTGCAGCCCTTTCTCAGCTGATGAGAAGCTGTGATTGAAGGTTTAAGGTGGTAAGACTTGGGGATTGGAGAAGTTCGTGTTTGAACACTTTGACCTCGGGCCAAGGACGTTCTCTGCACAACATGCGGGACCTTAACAGTGAGTCTACAAGTGGAAATGCTGCTCTTCTGTTTCATCAACTTCTGATGCCGGATGTGACTTTTTCATTTATGCAAATTAATTATAATTGTTGATGTCTATCTGTAAATAATAAGAATATATAAATATCTTCAAATAAATGTATCCGGCAAATAGTAATTTAACAACACGCATGATCAGAATAATTATATCAAAATAAAGGTCAAATTACTCAATTACTAGTCAGCAGAGTTGGACCTGTAGAGAATCCCTGCAGACATCAACCCAAATACAATTTAGCTTGATGAACAGACGGAGGTATTACCTTAAAGTAATGCATGAATTACCATATGACATTTAATTGAACAGGATTTTTAATTTCCTGACTGTTTTTACAGTTTTATGCTGAGGTTTGGGCCCCACTTGGCAAATTTTGTAATTGACATTAAAATTTGTCTTAAAATGTAAATGCTCTGTTATTTGTTTACCTAAATATACAAAAAGACTCAGAACTCATCCAAACCAATTTGCAGGTAACCCAGCTTGCTTTTTGTATCCATAAAAACTTTCTTTTCTCAGTTAAGGAACTTTCACCCACTGATCTTGCACAAGTTCTTAGAAACCTTTAGGCCACAGATTTGCAATGATCAGTAGAAGTTGAAGGCAAAACTTTTAGACACTTTCTGGATTCCACAAATACGCACCAGAGCCTCAACTTGCTCTGTGCTGCAAGGATAGTTTTAACTTTTCACCTAAAATCAGCACGATACGCAATTTGTGTGAATTGGTCAAACTAGTTTGAACACTTTTCTAATGTTACACATCAAATACAATGGATTTCCAGTGTAGATTTTAGAGCAGGGCAACAACAAAATCACAAACCATCTTTTGCATAGATATTCACCTTGTAATTTCCAATCATGTTTTTAAGTATTATTGCATCTATGGTGTTTAAGTTGAAGGCAGCTTTCTTTAAACTTCATTTTCAGCTGAGTGTAGGTGAAAACAATGCAGTGAGTGACTGTACACAAACACAGCCATCAGCTCCATTTACATGCAGATTATACTGACCGACCGGAAAAATAAAATAACCTGAGCAATGTGCATTAATACAACCCAATAGAACAGAAATCAATTATTAGATTTATGTTGAAAGTGTGTCAGAGAGGGACTGATTTCACACTACGCCAACTATTATCATGAGACTATATTTTTATGTATAAAAGTGGTACATGTAAAAGTGGTATTTTGAATCCATTACGACAGCAACACAAGGTCTGAATCTCAAAAATGATTACAAGCTTCAAAAAAGCACTATTATACGACGCTGTGCTCTTATTGTGGAATGCATTCAACTGCACAGGAGTTTCTGTTTTTCTGGTCACTCAGTGTTGTGTCCTTTAGGTAAATCATGTTGCAGGCTCAACTGAGACGGTCAGTGGTATATAAATACAATGAAAGTGCAGCCGCAAATTAAAAATCTGAAGTGAAGTATTAAAAGCACTTTAGAGTCCAGAGGGCCCTTCCAGTGAACGACGAACAAAACTAACTGACTAACAACAAAACTTAGTTCTATAAAGAACTTTGATGGTCTTCAACAGGGGCCAAACTCCTGCTTCAATATGATTGAAAATGAGCTCTTTTAAATAGTTAAATAGATATAAAATTTTGTTATCTTTAAACACAAACTGTACACATCCGGTACCAATACATATAAAAATTCATACAAGTGTGATTATATTAAAAAGGACTCCCTCGCCCTCTGATACATTTTATCAAAAATATGTAGCTTTAGAAGCACTTTTGTTCTTCATTCATCTATTAAACTTTACAAGTCTACATCACACTTACAAAGAAGTGAATAAGGTCTTTTTCTAGTCTCTGCAGCAGCGCTACGCCCGCTGAGGCCACTGCTTCACTCTTCTCTCCACCGAATCTGTTTCTTCCCTGCTCCAACGTTCTTCATCTCATCAAACTTCCTCTTCACCATCCAGTCGCTCCTCGTTCCATCACGCGCCGCCTTTCTCTACTTCCTCCTCCTTTTCAACGTGCACTTCAATCAATTTTTTCAACTTTCCCGATAATCTTCTCCTCAAAAATGGGCAAGATAGCATCATCTTCGCGGACCTCTTCAAACACCACCCCGCAGTCAAACTCGTCGCTCACCTTCTTGAAATAATACCTGGAAAAGGCAAAGAAGGTTCTTCAACAGACGAGACAAGGTAATAAGTCGTATACAATTTATAACATCAGAAGCAGTCTGAGATAATGAATATGATGATGAGGTTTAAATTTGAGATTCACTAATAACAAAATAATTATCAAATGATCTAATCATGGCATAAATCATCATGTGTCTTAGTTAAACCCTCTGCTAACCAGTCAAGTTGCAGTTTACACACATGTCTGTCCAGACTCATAATAAATGCTGTGTAGTGAGGACATTGAAGAAATTCTGTAAATGGAATTAAGTGTTTCTTATTATAATAAGCACCACCAAAACATATTCAGTTGATAAATGTTCCTTTGAGTCATCTTTATGCCGGATTTGAAGAAGTTTCCTCACGGCATCCCAGAGATATCACGTTCATGAGCAAATAACATGTTTTGTGGAGTCACAGTGACCTTTGATCTTTCACCTTAATTGGAATCGGGTAATCCTGGATCTTGATAAAATGTTTATGTCAGCTAAAACAATTTTCTCCTGGATGTTCCTCATAAATCATGTTACAAAATCTGTGTGACCTTGAATCTTCAAGCCTCCAGTTAGGTCTTTGGCCACCACACAAGAAGGTTTTTAGAAAAAAGGTTGACTGAAAATGTTATGACCTGAATATAAATTACAATAAATCATCATCAGCATATGTCCCCCAGACAAATACAGCTCTCATGACATTCAAAACAACCTTAATGAAGTCCCACGAGCTGATAATTGATTCAATTCAGATTATTTGGTGTTTTAACAGCTCCTGAATAATAAATCTCCACAGAAATCAATCAGCATCATGAACCTCACCTGTAATTTCCTTTCTTTGTGAGCAGTTCTTTGAACTGGCCCAGAGTGACGACTCTGCCTTTGACAGACGTCCTGTATGGAATCTGCTCCTCACAGAAGTAATATGCCACCACTGTGTTCTCACACGGCTGCCTCTTACTTGCTTTATGTCTGAAAAAGGAAAACAGAAAATAATTTACAAAATCGGAAACTTTAAAGAATGACATTTAAATGCTGATGTTCATAAGTAACTTTAAGACTGGGGAAACAATGACACTGATGTAA